ACTGTTCCAACCATAGCATTCAAATCACCCATAACAATCAGGAGGTCTTGTGATGGAGTATTTTCCACTTCAGCTTGAAGAGTTTCATAAAAGATGTCTTTTTGCTCAGGATCAGCATCATTTGCTGGAGCGTAACACTGAATTACAGTCATCTTCACTTGCTTCCCAAAGAACCTCGCTCTAATTAGCCTCCCGTTGATAGGCTTCCACTCAAGAAGTGACTTTTCCACGCTCCTCTTCAGGATGAGAGCTACTCCTTGCCGGTGTAGGTTGTCATTCCGGCCTGAAAACAAAATTGTTTCGCCGCCTTGCGTTCTCTGTGAACCAAATCCTGCCCATCTACACTCACTAATACCAAGGATGTGAAGTTTATTTTCATTCGTCTCTCTGGTGATCTGCGCGAGCCTTCCTGTACTAAACATTGTTGTTACATTCCAGAATCCTAATCTTGTCTTTGTCTTGGTGCTCGAGGCTCCCAGTCTCGCAGCGACAGCTTCCTGTTGGCTTTCACTGCCGCTGGTCATTCTAGCCCGTGAAGGCTCTGAGTTCCATTGGTGACCAAAAGGTTGAAGATTTCTTGTTGGTGTTTCCGTGACAGAATCTTTTTTACAGGGTGAGGTTGTCAACCTTACGCCTAACCCCCAACCTGGAGGCCCAGGTGGCTGGTTTTAGTCAGGACCCTCCCCTAGAGTATTGTACTGAAAGTCAAGTAAATAGTTGTGTGCATTGCAACAACAAAAAAGACAAATTATGAGCAGAAAATCACGAGTTGCTGCAGAGCGGAGAGTCAAGAACATACAGCGTGGAGAAAAATCTGCGAAGAGTTAAGCTCTCACATGAAATCTAATAAAATACTTAATTGAGAAATGTAGATCTTGTGACGTACATTTCAATCAGTAACGTTTTGGCTCAAACATGATGGTCTGGTGCAACCACTGCCAAAATTTGAAACTTAATTGATGATTATTTGGGATGCGGGGTAGTGTTTGTTGAAGGCTCCTCCGGCGGTCGGCCCGTGTGTGGCATGCGTTTACTACGGCTACCCAGCGGCATGGCTTGTGTGCGTTGTTACAGTCATGCGAGTTTTGAGCGTGGTAATAGTTGTATACCACGGGTTAGCACTTGATGTGCGATGCCGGTCTTACCGAAAACATCGTGTTGCCTACCATAGGCGGATACGTTTGAGAGGGTGCATTGTTTGCCATCTGTTGTAGCAGTTTGTTGATAGCTGCTCCTGTCTGGGCTATATTAACTTTTTTGCCGGTTTCTGCGCTGTGTTGTTTGCTCGCTAACCTTATTTTTGTTTCCTTAAGATATCTTGCACGACGGAGGCTTCGCGGCGAATCTCCAGGATCCGTCATTGAAGTTAATGGTTCCGCATCTGGTTGATATTTTGTTAGAGTCTAG